GGTTATGTTCACCCTAAACCTGTATAGTCAACAATATAACTCTGGGTTATGTTCACTTTACACCTGTATATGTCAACAATATAAATTATGGGATATCTTCACCCTACAATTGTATAGTCAACAAATAACTTGGTGGGTTATGTTCATACCACACCTGTATAGTCAACAATATAACTCATGGGTTATGTTCACCCCACACCTGTATATAGTCAACAATATAACTCATGGGGTTATGTTCACCTACACCTGTATAGCATCGTCAATATAACTCATGGGTTATGTTCACTCTACACCTTTGAATAGTTAATAACTCTGCGGGTTGTGTTCACTACACCTTTATAGTTAACAATATAACTCATGGGACATTCACCTCACCTGTATATCAACAATATAACTCTGTGGGGTTATGTTCACCCCTACACCTGTATAGTCAACAATATAACTCATGGGTTATGTTCACACTACACCTTTATAGTCAACAATATAACTTTATGATATGTTCACCCAACACCTGTATAGTCAACAATATATCTTTGTGGGTTCACACTTCACCTGTATAGTTAACAGTTCCTATGGGCACCCCCTACCTGATATTCAACAATATAACTCATGGGTTATGTTCACACTACACCTGTATAGTCAACAATATAATTGTGGGTTATGCCCATTTAACTTTATAGTACAATTCATGGGTTATGTTCACCCTACACCTGTATAGTCAAATAATATAATTCTGCGGGTAATGCCCACCCTACACCTGTATAGTCAACAATATAACTCATGGGTTATGTTCACACTACACCTGTATAGGGGTCAGCCAATATGGGTTATGGGTTCACCCTACCTGTATAGTCAACAATATAACTCTGGGGTTATGTTCTTACACCTGTATAGTCAACAATTAACTATGAGATATGTTGTTACCTGTATAGTCAACAATATAACTCATGGGTTATGTTCACCACACCTGTATAGTCAACAATATAATCTTATGGGGTTATGTTCACCCTACACCTGTATAGTCAACAATATAACTTGTGGGTTATGTTCACTCCTACACCTGTATAGTCAACAATATACTCATGGGTTATGTTCACCTACACCTGTATAGTTAACAATATAACTTATGGGTTATGTTCACACTACACCTTTATAGTTGGCAATATACTGATGGGATATTTCACTTCCACCTGTATAGTCAACAATATAACTTCATGGTATGTTCACCCTTCACCTGTATAGTCACCAGTTCCTGCTGGATATCTCACTTGCTGTATGTCAACAATATTATTTGCGGGTTATGTTCACCCTACACCTGTATAGTCAACAATATAACCTGGGGTTTGTTCACACTACACCAACAATATAACTCTGGGTTATGTTACACAACACCTGTATATGTCAACAATATAACTGGTGGGATATCTTTACCTCCACCTGTATATGTCAACAATATAACTTCGTGGTTATGTTAACTCTACACCTGTGGTATAGTTAACAATATAAATTTTGGGTTATGTTCACCCTACACCTGTATAGTCAACAATATAACTTTCGGGTTATGTTCACACTACACCGTATAGTCAACAATATAACCTTGGGGTTGTGTTCACCACCTGTATAGTCAACAATATAACTTTCTGGGTTATGTTCGCACTCACCTGTATAGTCGTCAATATAACTTCATGGTTTCTCTTCACTCTTGTATAGTTAATAATATAAGTTGTGGGTTATGTTCACACTACACCTGTATAGTCAACAATATAAGTCATGGGTTATGTTCATACTACGTATAGTCATCATTATAACTTGTGGTTAGTGTTCTACTGCTACCTGTATAGTCAACAATATGTTTCATGGTTGCATCACTACACCTGTATAGTCAACAATATAACTTCAGGTTATGTTCACCTACCTGTATAGTCAACAATATAACTCATGGGTTGTGTTCCACTACACCTGTATATGTCAACAATATAAGTTTATGGGTTATGTGTCTACATTTACACCTGCTTATAGTCAATATCCTGCGGGTTATCTTCACCCTACACCTGTATAGTCAACAATATAATCATAGGTTATGTTGCACTATGATTCTTATCCTTAACACATGGGTTATCTTCACCACCTGTATAGTCAACAATATAACTCATGGGTTATGTTCTTTTCACAACGCCAGTCCTTAATATAAGTCATATAGGTTGTGACTACTACACCACCAACATGGTCAACAATATAACTCATGAGTTTATCTTCTACCCCTATTAATATAACTCATAAGGTTATGTTTACTACACTGTATAGTTAGCACAATATAACATGATTCTACCATATAGTCAACAATATAACTCATGGGTTATGTTCACACTACACCTGTATAGTCAACAATATACTGTACATGACAATACAATATTAAATTGTTTATGATTTACTGAATAAATATGATTATTACTGGTTGGAAAGAGAACCACATGTCAACAGTGTAAACCAACAGTGTAAACCACATGTCAACAGTGTAAACCAACAGTGTAAACCACATGTTAACAGTGTAAACCACATGTTAACAGTGTAAACCAACAGTGTAAACCACATGTGAACAGTGTAAACCAACAGTGTAAACCACATGTTAACAGTTTAACCTACAGTGTAAACCACATGTTAACAGTGTAAACCACATGTCAACAGTGCAAACCAACAGTGTAAACCGCATGTTAACAGTGCAAACCAACAGTGTAAACCACATGTAGTGATGGGTTGTCAGACCACAGCTTGCATCTCAGAGACAGTCCAGATTTGACCCGACATTAGGGAGGTCAAGTGTAGGGTAACTCTCACGGCTGACCAAGGGTTATAAATCAGCCAGGCTCCCCTCCCATGTCACACATGTAAGGGGGCACCGGCCGGCTCTCTCCCAATATACACAACGGCCCCACCTGATGACTTCTCCAGAAGATACAACTTATAGTCTCTGAAAAAGTCCAGACCTGACCCTACATTAGCGAGGGCAAATGTAAGGAGATCCTTCGCCGCCCCCCCGATCAGCTCAACCTGACGGCTCGCCTCCCAATATATAGGACGTCCTAGTCCTCCCTCCCACCAGAGAGAGACAGAGAGAGAGAGTGTGTCTTGTAAGGAGGAAGGGCCAGCTACTACACCACCAGGCCCGCTCGAGAGGAGGCAGGGAGGTCAGGTGTGACCCTGTCCTCTGTCGATAGTGACGTGATAGTGAAGTCTGGAGCAATGGGTGAGTGAATACAGTGAATGACCCGAATGAGACGAATGAGCCGAATGAGACCCGTGGACGGGACTGCAGGCCCTTTATATGGAGGAGAACCAGCTGGCGGATGACCTCTACCAAGGTGTGGTTATAAGGTCATGTCACTTGGTCAAGCACTTAGTGGCCGGGGTCAGGTCCCTTGGGTCCTGACCCAGGGTGTGTCAACTTGGTATGTTGGTTACCACGAGGCATGTACAGTACTCACTGCTATATGTGTTGCAATTCTCTGGTTGTAAACTGTGGTCTGATAAAAAATCATTACACCTCTCGCCAAGACCAAAGCTTCCACAAGAGAGAACTGATGACACATATGGACATGTACAGTATCTGAAATGGTCCCTGAGGCGATAATACAATCACACATTTACAAACAATAATCTCATAGATACTGGCGTGTGTTGTGTTTTTCTACTGGCTTAGTTTGATCTGACAAAGCTTACTATACCTCCCGTCAGGATCAAAGCTTACTATACCTCCCGTCAGGATCAAAGCTTACTATACCTCCCGTCAGGATCAAAGCTTCTATGCCAGGAGAAAAAATACACATACACAGTAAGTGAATATAGAATGAGCTTGACTGAGCTAAATATCCTTCATATCTAGCACAGTATCCGAGGCAAACTTGCAAATCACATTCTACAAACCATAACAGGTATTACATTACCTTGCCAGCCCATGTCAAAATAATAATTCGTCTCAGTCAGTAATATGGCTACAACATTGCGTTTGGTAGTACAAAACATTGGTCCAATGAACTCATAGAAAGAGTGACTAATCTTTCTTAAATAAAAAAACCCATTCTTTATAGTAAATGTTAACAGAAATCAGAGAATGAAATACTTCAAAATACACAAAAAATGCGCCTTCTTTACATGTTAGGGTGTTGTCTCTTGTTACTGGACATAAAGAACAGAATGCTCTAGAGTTCTTATAATGCGACTTTTAACAAAATCTAATTTTGGGGCCAAAACTGTCGAAAGGGTAAGACTTACCCCTGAGTAATTTATTGCCCAAAATATACTTTTTTCATAGAATTGAAATTCAAGAGATTTAACTAATTAAGGACTTACAGAATAACACATTAACATCAAAATCGTACTTTGGAAACCCATAGTTGGCGAGTAATTAACATTGAAAAATGTGATTAAATTATCCAAGGGTCGTTACAGCCACTAATTACCCCGCAATTCCGCCCCAGAAAAGGGTAGGAATTTGGCCCAGAAGACGGTAGGATTCCGACCCAGAATGCGGTAGGATATCGCCGCAGAATAGGGTAGGACTCCGCCTAAAATACGGTAGGATTCTGCCCAAGGAAACGGTAGGATTCCGCCTCAGAATAGGGTAGGATTCCGCCTAAAATACTGTCGGATTTATGGTTCTATGGTTGTAGTGTTCCAAAGAAGCACTTTCACATCTTGAGAATATTGTGTCACAAGAATACAAGTAAGGCTGTTTTCTTTGTTGGAGAATCAAAGAAAACGTTTTAATTTGATGGATAAATCATATATTTTTTGTATTATTTTTATTGTTTTCTAATTTTTATGTTTTATTGGTTAGGTTAGGTTATGTCAGGTTAGGTTAGGTTAGGTTAGGTCAGATTAGGTTAGGTTAAGTTAGGCTAGGTTAGGTAAGGTAAGATTCTGCCCCAATTGAGGGTTAGGGTTTTGCCCGAAAAGACGGTCGGATTTAACCCAGAATACGGTAGGATTCTGCGCCAGAATACATGTATTTGTGACATCTGTTGCTGCTGCCAGTGCTTGTTCACCTGTATTTGTGACATCTGTTGCTGCTGCCAGTGCTTGTTCACCTGTATTTGTGACATCTGTTGCTGCTGCCAGTGCTTGTTCACCTGTATTTGTGACATCTGTTGCTGCTGCCAGTGCCTCTTCACCTATAATTGTGACATCTATTCCAGCTGCCAGTTTTCGTTCACCTGTGTTTGTGACATCTGTTGCCGCTGTCATTGCCCGTTCACGTATATTTATGACAAAAGTTACTGCTGCCAGTGTTCGATCACCTGTATTCGTGACACCTGCTCCTACTGCCAGTGCTCGTTCACCTGTATTTCTGACACCTGTTCCTACTGCCAGTGCTCGTTCACCTGTATTTCTGACACCTGTTCCTGCCGCTGACGTTTGTTTATCTGTACTTGTGACACCTGTTTCAGCTGACAGTGTCCTCTCATCTGTATTTGTGACATCTCTTTAAGCTGCCACCGTTCGTTTGCTTGTATTCGTGACATCTGTTGCTGCTGCCGTGTTCGTTCACCTATAATTTTGACATCTGTTGCTGCTGCCATATTCGTTAACCCGTATTTGTGACATCTGTTCCTGCTGCAAGTGAACATCTGTAAGACATGTGTTCGACCTTCTGATATGATTGCAGTAAATACGGCTGTTGTTCCTATTGTTTCCCCCATTCGTCATGCGGCCGACAGCACTAATTGTTTATGAATATTAGATGCGCCGTTTAATTATCTATGCATGAAAGGCACCCGTTGTACCACCATGGAAACAAATTGAGAATATATTACACAGCCGCAGGGAAAAATGAATAAACAAATAATGAATAACACAAATAAATGCTTATTACACTTGCTCGGGTTTTTTGTTGGTTAATAATCAAACGCTCGCACCATAACACCTGTGATACTACACCGGTGTCATAGTCATTATATTTGATGATTTAGTTAACTGTCTATTATCCTTCAACTTTACAGCGACAGATAGGAATTAGCGTTATTCAGTGAAGTGATATCTGAAATAGTGCATTCTGGTAACTGCCATAATCTTGAATCTCCCAAATTTCGCTGCCCAACCCAGAGTCAAACAGATCCAAAATGCTTTCGGAGTTATCCAACATTTATTTATGTAAACCATTTAAACTTGTAAATACTATATACCAAGGACCCGATGATACACAGACAGACAAACAGGTCAGTTTTTTTTTTGTATACAGTAAACACCGAAGTGTACATTCAACAGGTGAGGCTCGCCCGCATAGTCCTGACTCGCTGAAACTGAACTGTAATCACCTCAGTACATCATTAACAACTACCATGAATATTATATTAACAGTGAAAAATATAATAATAATATTCCAGACGTGAAAGAAAGGATAACTCCTTTGAAGGCTATGAGTTGCAGTGATCAATGATTGAACATATTTTCATCTCAGCTGCCAACGTGGCTTACCAATTTATTCAAAACTTTTTTTTATGAGTTCAGCAGCAATTTCAATTATAAATTTAATTACGAACTTTCTGAACAATCAATAGGTTTTTTTTAAGTATTATATTCTGCATCGTAACTCATTAATGGTACGGCTTAAAATTTAGCCTTCTGTCATGTATCAGATTATAATTCATGAGTAAAGATGGTAATATTGTGAACAGTTCGTCATCAGAGAATGTTTCATGTCTAATAGTGCTGACAGTGGACGATAAGGGAGGATCGTAACAATACTCGGGAAGACAAGGGTGATCTCGTGTGGGGATCTATGGACGTAGCATCACACATCGCTACACCAAGATGGGAGGTTATGAACAACGACCGAATATGATAAATGGGGATCATATCAGTACATGTTGTAGGGACGAGATATGACATAATAACATTTGTCGACTCTCACGACCATAGTGAGTGAGTTAAGCTGCTGCTGCTGCTGCTGTATATTGTTAAAACAATTACTGTTCTATTAATTATACCACACTCGCTCACGACATCAGGTAGCAACACTTTTCGGGAGTCCAGTCAATCCCCGGACCCAACCCAATATCCCAACTCATGAATTTGTAGCGGCGGTCTGATAGGAAAAGGACCCAACGTCCTCTCCGAGCTGGAATGAAGATTATAAAGGAAAGATACGAAACTGCTGACACAGACGAGGTGAAGATCAGTCAAGGTGTTTAGTGTTAACCTTTCAGCTGGTGTGAGAGGCGGCGGCCACGCTGGTGATCGTGGCAGAAAATCAATAATTGGTATCTTGGTGTTAACAAGTGCTGGTTATGTCACGCGAAAAACAACAGCTGTGTCGTGTAGAAAATGTGTCGTGTCTGCTGTGATGATTTATCGTCCACAGTTGCATCCACACATTTTACATACATGATGTGTGTTCCTCTTGAGGCACCACATATAAGCCCTCTGAATGTTAGTGTGTGATGACTACACTGTTCGGCAGAGATTGTCTCACTAATAACTTGTTCAATAAAACTGTGACTCGTATAGAATAAGTTTATAGTGTGTTTGTTATTATACTGAATTATATCACATAATTGAAGTTAAAGTTTTCTCACTCGTTTCCTGAAATACCTTGTGGTAAGTAAGCTTCCCTCTAAAGTTATTATGAGCACCACTGGTACCGTGGGTGTTGCTGTGTCATCCATGGCGTACAGCGAGATCAAGTTTGTGTCAGTTAAATTTTCTCCTCTTTGGACACTGCTCTCTATTTTCTTTGGCTTTCCTCTTTATTGAACTCCTGCCATTGTAAAGAATACAAATTATATCCCAATATGTATTCATTATATTCGCTGACATTGCAGGCCGTAACAAAACCACCATCACTTATATTGTATTATATTTGACTTATGAATTTTTTTTAAACTTGTGCAATATAGACTACAATATTATTCATTAAATGTCACTTGTGTTGTAGCTGACATGGAAAAGAAACGACAAGCAAAATAATGCCTCAGATGAAATAAGGTTAAACCAAAAGTTACATACAGTTTGTTCACCCTCTTGCAACCTGGTCATTGAATCCAGGTTAGGTTAGGTTAGGTCTCTTTTTACTATGTTGTTAAGTTAAAATGCAAGAACTAGTGTTATTAATATTAAGTGTAATTGGGCCCTTGTAGGTTTTGAAAAGTTTCACCCCAGTATGTAGAGTATGTATCTAATATACTATAGGACTAGGCGTGTGTGCGTGTGCGTGCATGTGTGTGTGTCTGCTCTGGGCAGCTGAAACGGCACAATCGTTTTTCATCAAACTTGGTGGAAAAATCGCAAAAAATTCGTACAGTGGAACAAACCTGGTCCCATATCGATGGTTTCCTTAGGAAGCCATTACATAACCATTTTATTTACGCTGGAAAACGATGGAAGGCTACAAGCCCTCATTCGCTGGACACTGTCAGCCCACGATTGCAGTTTGCAGTTATCGTACGTCCCCCTCCTCCTCCCCCCACTTTTTTTCTTAGCCTACTTTTTTTTTAATATTGTTTGGATTAGTAAAGGAAGGAAGATGAGTAAATAGAACAATAAAGAGGGGGAAACAGAAAATAGTTAGAGATAACAGGTGGGGGGAGCTCAGTTTCATCATGCGTCTGGATGCACAGTTACCAGACGACCTTACAGCTACAGTGTGTACTTATTCCTGTGAGTGGAAAAGGAGAAGAGATAAAAAGATAATAACAGGAATGCATGGATAAGATGACTACAATAGACACGGGGTGAATATAGACAGTGAAACAGACAGGAGGTTGACAAAAATAGACAGATTCATACATGCACAAATAGACAATATGGCAACTAACATGACAGACAGACAGCTGACTGACTGGTTCACATTAGTACAGACGGGCTTACATTCAAACACCACGCAGACGAACAGACAGTTGGGATGGCAATAGACAGGACAGATAGACTTGAGACAGATTAGAAGGCATTTATAAACAAGATTAACACCAAATTGACCATAGCTGCGTCAGTGAGGGTAGGAGGTGTTACATCCACCAGCGTAAATAATAAGACGCATTGAAAACTAACACCCTCGTGCGGAAAGAACATTGCTGGTCGGTCAGTCATGTGAGATGGACCTAAAACTGACAAACGTAGATGATGACTATGATGACTTAACACAGGTGATGACTGAAGCAGATGGTGACTAATCTAACCAGAATCAAGGTCATTTCTCTTAATAATATAATTTATCTCGGATTGATTACACCGGTCAACACAATTTTTCTGGCACAAGGTTTTTAAACGGATTTTAAGTAAATTTAGGGTGCAGAATCCTAATATGACTTTGGTTTTTATCTATCACATCAGGTTTTTGAGATATACCATATTGCACTTTTGCTGGGAAACGTAAACTTTTGGATCAAAATTGACGGTTTAAACATGTATACATAAATTTTTTCAGCATTATAATTTGTATTTTTCTATAACCAAAAATTGTTAATATCAAATTGGAAAGTTAATGCACATATAATATTTAAATGTAACATTGAAGGGTGAAAAAAAACAATTAATGTACGGTAGAAATAGTGCAAGTATTAAGATCAAGTTACAGTTACATAAACTTCCTCTTTTTGGCCGATCTCTTATGTACAGCTTCTGGAATGTCTCTCATCAAACTCCAGCAGTAGTCCGCCATCATGTTCGAGTCCCATCGACCTTGGTAACGTTCTTCCATTACTTTAATGTCTTGATGAAAGCGCTCCCCTTGCTCCTCGCTCACTTCTCCCAGATTTTCTGGAAACTCATCCAAGTGACTGTGTAAGTAGTGAACCTTGATACTCATTCTGCATCCAAGTGCTTGTAAACTCAAGAGCAGCTCTTCCACAATTTCTTGATAGTTGTCCGCTTTCTTGTTCCCTAAGAAGTTCCGCACCACATTAGAGAAAGCATTCCAAGTTCTTGCCTGTGCCTCAGTCATTGTTGCAAGGAAGTGTGGATCTCTGAGTAGTGTTCTTATTTGAGGTCCATCAAAAATCCCTGCCTTTTTCTTCTCGTCGCTAAGACTTGGAAAGGTTGAGCATATATATCTGAAACACTCTCCACTATGATCAAGAGCCTTGACGAATTGCTTCATGATACCAAGTTTTATGTGCAGAGGAAGAAGGACAATGTTTTTCCTGTCAACCAGAGGATCGTTAATGATATTCTTGTCACCAGGCGTCAAACTATGTCTTGGTGGCCAATTCTTTTTCACCCAATGGTCTGCTGTAGCCCTGCTGTCCCAGTAGCACAGAAAACAGGGGTATTTTGTGTACCCTCCTTGCTGGCCCAATAGAAAGTTCACCATTTTCAAGTCCACACAAATTAACCATTCATGAGCATGGTATTGCAACCTCTCTAGAACAGTCTTAATGTTTTCATACTCTTCTTTAATTTGTACAGAATGTCCGATTGGAATTGAACCATACTTGTTTCCGTTATGAAGAAGAACACATTTCGAGCTCCTTTTAGAACTGTCAATAAAAAGTCTCCAATCCTTACTATCATATGCTGGTAGTCCCATGGAGAGAAGAAGTCCTTCTACATCATTACAAAAAACAAGCTGGTCATATGAATGAAA